TGTGTGTGTGTGTGTGTGTGTGTGTGTGTGTGTGTGTGTAAGAATTATTTATAGGCTATACACTCATGCAACACATGGACTACAGTCACCACCTGATACATAGGACATCCTGATCCAGACTAACAAACACGTGATGCTAACCAGCTGGACATGGTGGTCAGTAAACAAGAGAAGAAGGCAGCAGTGATAGATGTAGAAATCATAAGTGACTGAAACACCAGGAAGAAGAAGAACGAGAACCTGGATGAATACCAAGATGAAAAAAAGAAGTTATGGAGTCAAAGTATCAATAGTCCAAGTGGTCAATGGAGCACTTGGTGCTGTGACCCCCAAACTAGAGGAGTGACTTCAACAGATCTAAGAACAACCTCAGAGATCTCTGGTTACTTATAAGAACAGCTAAGATCCTGAACAGAACCCTGTAACTCCCAGACCTCTGGTGGAGGACCTGAGTTTGAAATGAAGTGGAAGAGTAGGACGAGATTCAAGTTTTCTATAATGTTTTATTCATTCATTTATTTATTACTATAAGTGTTATGCAGGTGTTTTGTTTAGAAAATGCCTTTTTCTTTTGTGGACAATAAAGATTATTTCAAAAACTTCACAATCTTATCATTGTGTTTTCTTTTTCTCCCTGCTGTGTGTACTGACTGCTCTGTAGTGTTTGCTCTTTTGATTTATTCGAGGTCTGATTTGACAACCTTGTTCGGTTTTGAGCAAAGTTTGAACTATTTTGAAGCTAGAGTTCAGTTTTGCTGGAAGAGTCTGAGGTTCTGTGAAAGTAGTTTGAAAATTGGGTTTTGTGTTTACAGTTTAGAGAAATGGATGGATGGTTTCAAGAAATGTGTTTTAGCAACTGAGAAAAACTGTAAATACTTTTCAGTAAGTTATATGTCTATGATTCTGGTTCAAATACATAACTTTATTTTTGCTAGATTGTTAACAAATTATTTGTGAGTTAATATTGCCTTAATGGACAATTATTTTAATAAAGTGAACCATTACAACATCTATATTAAATGTGATGCGTTTGCAAATTTGGGTGCACCTAACTTTTGTACTGGCGRACCGGTGCAACCAGTGCAACCAGTGCAAAAAGTTAGTCTAGAACCCTGACCATAATGATTCTTTTAAAAGTTCMTTTCACATCTGTTTATTGAACTGTTTTTTTTTTAATTCAAACATAGACATTTGACTCTCAGCTACTACCACACAAACTTTAACTCAATACCTGATGTATAACAGAGTTACAATCATTTGTGTGTTGGCTGGTTAGAASTGACAGGTGTTTTCCTTACCTGTGGATGCCYGAGCACTCAATACACAGRAGCACGCCCAGGTTMATGGAGGCCCAGCAGGGGTTAGCCTGACCGCAGTCACAGCACCTCTGGTTTCCTGGCAGACTCTGGATGTGCTGCAAGATCGTCTCCGCCCTGTTGCCGCACTCCCGTGGCTCAGAGGCCGAGTCGATGCTGCTGGTGGACGGAGACGCCGTTCGGTCCAAATGCTAAATATAAAAACAGCACAAACTGGATGTTCATCGGCACATCTGTACCAGATCAGACCAAGGCTTTTAGCCAAATAAACGTAACACAGTCTTTATTAGCTAAATAATGTGTCAACATCAGATAGAGCAGGTCTGATTTTAAACCAAGACCTGCAGGSGTCCAGGGGTGGATGAGATCCACCCTGAAGAGAAAAGAGAAGAGAGTCTGATTGATGGTTGAACCTCAGGATCAGGAGGAACGATGCAGGTTCCATTCCGGCTGTGGAACACTGGACCAGCTCTTTACCCTCACTAGAGTACTTGAAGGGTCATGGGACAGTCTACATGTGTTTTGCTACAAGCTAACGCAACATTTACATAAGACACAGACACTGCATTAATACAAGATGCTGACTCAGCATTAACATAAGACGCTGTCTCAGCATTAACACAATAAGCATATATATTTGTTTCAGTGACAAACTCTGCTCCTATTAGGCTAATAAAATCTAAAAAATCAACTCAAATATCAAAGATTTTTAAGCTTAAGAACAAAGCAGCAAAAAAAAGAAAAAACGATCAACGTAAAACAGTTTTATCACACTATCTGAGAAGTTGTGCCTAGAAGAATCTGAGTAAAGTGTCCGATAGTTGATGGCATCAGGACTCACCTCTGTAGAACAAATGTCTGGGCTCTCTCTGTAGGCTGAAGCGATGCTAGCTTGAACTGCCTGAACCCAGGCTTGTCTTAACTTCTCAGACTCTGCCTGCAGCATACAGCTCCTGTAAGACAGAATCACATCACTGTGTGCTGATGTGCATGCATTGTTTGCTAATTAGCAGTGAACAAAAAATATCCGCATTTCTGTAAAACTTTCAGTTCAAATCTTGTCACAGGCTTCTAAAGCACAGATGATCAGGGGTCGGATTTATAAAACTGGCGAACGCACAATATGAGCCCAGAAACTTGCGTACGCCACTTTTCACACCAAGGTTGTGA